TTTTCAGACAATGAAAACTACTTTACAAAATTGTCTACATCATATCATATACTTTCAAATTTCTGGTGACGATGTTGTTAAAAATGTACGGCCATAAAAAATTTCTTGAAAAAGAACTTTGGAAAGATTTAACTAATAGATTTATGTCACCAGATCAACAAAATTTCATCAACAATCTGTCACCTCGTATTATTTTAATACCAACATTGCCAACAAGAAAAACAGAACCATTTTCAACAGTTATTACTGAAGAACATAAAACTGAAATTGCAACATAAATTGATAATAAAATTAATATGTATGATACAACAAGCATTCCATATGATTTTAAATTACTACTTCGTGGAAGCAAAAATAGTTTTACCAAAAATTCATTTTAGAATTTATGTGATAAAAAAACAAATATTGTCGTAGTTATGAAAGTTAATGGCATTGATGAAATCCTTGGTGGTTATAATCCTCTCGGTTGGGATAATTCAATCTTCAGTTATGTGAAATGTGATAAATGCTTTGTTTTTTCATTGAAAAAGGTACTGTCAAATCCTCTATTTTAAGTCGCATACAATTTTTACAAAATGCTCTTGTAATAATGGTTTAAGCTTTGGTGGTGGCAATCTTCACATGTTTAATAATTTCAATCAACGTGGTGATGAATATAATGAATGTTATTGTTGGAATGGTCATTATGAAAAAGCGATTAGAATGTTAAATGGCCCTTTGTTTTCTGTAAGTGAATATGAGATATTAGAAATTCATAATAAAATTAATTTCTAAGTATTAAAATAAATTATCTTTAATTGTATAAAAAAATTATATATTATCTAATTAAATATTTTTGGTGTTTCAAATTTCATGAGTAAAAAATTACTAGAAAGACTAATAAATAGCTGATAGGTAAATTGTATATTGGATACCATGATAATGCAAGTCTCCTCGTACTGTACATATAGATTAGTACTTATTCTGCCAGAAATTATTTTCCTAGTTTTAACTACATGAAAAAAAAAGATTAATCTTAGATATTCATGTCTCATACAGGTGCAAGTCCAAAATCAAGAGACCCTGATAGTATTTGTGACCTGAAACTTTGTTTCTTTTTTCGAAAGGTTTCGGATTTCCAAAGTTTAAGTTTCGTAATATTATTTCTGGTTTCAGTTTTCCGAAACTTGAAAATATATTTGAGTTTCAGACTAGTATTTCTCAAGAGTATATATTGAGCTCCATTTATATCTCTATTTATCTCCAATTTACAAGTTTCGCACTTGAAGATCTTAGAATCTCTTAGTTTATCATCGATTGTTCCACATCTTCTACAGTCTTTTAAATTTATTCTTTAATACATTATATGAGTGGAAACTTGTAAATTAAATATTTACTTTTAATAAAAATATCTTGAAAACCAACTAATTAAATACTTAAAAAACGTTATTTAAAGGTTTTATCTACTGTCACTTGCATTATTTGTATTCACTGATCTTATCTAAACCTAAGATAAGTTCACGTCACCATAATAAAAGTGGTCTTCGATTTAATCTTTTTCTTGATCTCCTGATTATATTCTGTATTTTGAATACTAAATATTTTGTTATGATCAAATATTTCTTTTATAATATCAGCAATTTGGTAAAAATCATAACTATTAACAACAGATTTTTGAGTTTGATATAGAGTTCTGATCTTGATTCCATTCTTTTTGAGTCTATTACTATATTATAACTTTTGCTTGATGTTTTCTCGATAAATTTATTTCTTAATTTACAGTATATATAAAATTTGATTTAATACAACTCGAATAGATTTTGTGATTCCTTTTAGAATAATTAGTGTAAATACTAGATATAACCATATTTTATTATAAAATACAATATTTGAAATAATAAAAGTAAATGAAAATTAAATTGTTAAGATTATTTCTATTTGAGAAGAATTTTACAGAAACAAAAAACTTTATCTTGAGATCTATGAATATAAAATTTATGTAATACTTTAATTATTTATATATGCACGACTGATGGAACGAATAGTTTAAACATTCCACGATAAAACCTATAATAATTATATCTCCTATTATAACATATTTCTGTACTTGCTGCATTTTCGTGATAAAAATGACAAGATAATTAAAACATAATGTTTAAAATCATTCCAAAACAGATCTAAAATCTAATACTATTCAGCCACTATGGCGCATCAACCTGGTACGCATTTTCCGGATGCTTAGAGTTAGAGGTTATAAAAATAGGTTGATATTGAAACTGGGTGTCACGGCGAGCCAGTCGCTCCACAATCCAAATCCTCGCGTAAACTACGGTCGGCTAAGTCTGAAATAGGCGTTTAGATTTGGTCGGTGGTTGGGTTCCGTAGGTGTTTCTCCTTCTTCTTTGGTCTATTGTCTAATCCTTTAATACACTATATTTCTTCGTAGTCGTTTGTTCGGTTTATCCTTCAACTTGAATACCACACTACTTCGGGTATCCTATATCCTTGGTTCCGGGTTCCTGGTTAGGTTTAGATACCACACTACTTCGAGTATCCTATTCTTTAACAACCTCAATTGCCACTGTGCTTCGGGAAATTGGACACGGGAGATTAACCACAACTATCTTTCTACCTTCGATAATTGGACGTTGGTTATCACGGTGGAACTTATTACTTCAAGACTCGGCCGACAAATCAATCACGTGAACAAGACGAACGACAATCGTGTTGGGTGTTACTTTATTGTTAGTAGGTAATTTAACGAATATATTATCGGAAATTCAATGTAATAGGTCAGTGTATTATTATTATATAAAGCGAAGTTTAGGAGTTATTTTTATTTATTTATGTGAAAGTTGGGAAGTATTGTTCCTATATGGCCTTCACGGCCTTTATTTATAACAAAAGTTTACTATGTACACATTCTCACTCTACCTTTTCTATGTAAGTGACAATAGTTACTTCTATGAACATTAGTACTCTAGTAACTATTCTGACCTTTCTGACTATTTCAATTTTAGTGACTACGATGACCTTTCTGACTATTACAACTTTAGTGAATATACTGGAATTAGTGTTCTTTTCCTTAGTGTTTACTTTATCCGTATCACCCTTTTTGGTGGAAAGGACTTTTCCTACGATTCGGTCCTTTCTGACAATTCAGACCAGGCAACCCA